CTCAAAACACAGTGAGTTTACAATAGACTGTTTTAACAGATTTTAAGAAGATAAAGTCTCAGAAATGGCTCTGCGTGACCTCTGAAACAACAGGAACACTGACAGTTGAGGAACAAGTTCCCAGGATTACCGGCTAGTTAGTAAGGTTTACAGAGTGAAACATTATAATCAAGGCTGGAGAAAAAAAGCAGCAACCATCTCACCACAGAAATTGATGTGAAACCAGCTTCTGCCTCCCTGCATCGCTCTTAGGCACTTCCAAACGAGCACCTTCTATTCACTCCAATAGTTTTACATGTATTAAAAAAAAAAAAAAAAAAGAGAGAGAGGAAGAATATATGACCTTTGAAATTGATCTCGAGGGGGGGTCTTCTTTTTTGTCTCTTTTTTTTTTTGTCTCTTTTTTTTTTTTTTCTTTTTTTCTTTAAAGCAAGCCAGGCTAACTCTACATGGCTTCAACTTGGCAAAAACAGCAGCAGAAAGATGAAGATGCCTGTAACTTTTCAAAGAGATTCCTGCATTTAATATCAGAATTAAACGCTCATTTTACTCTATTATGTAACTAGCTAGCCAGTCAAAGAAAAAATACTGCTATCTGCTTTCAAAATGTGTTTAGTAGCATGACACTGCATTAAAACAGGCTATAATCTATAGGTGACAAAAGGAAGACTGAGAAAAATGTGGGGCTACTGCTGAATGAGGTGGGTGACCTCATTACACAGGACATGGAAAAGGCTGAAGTAGTAAACATCTGCTTTGCCTCAGCCTTTATGAGCAAGATGCAGCCCCTTCAGGAATCCCAGGTCCCAGAAACCGGGGGGAAGGCTGGAGCAAGAGAGATGGACCCTTGGTGGAAAAGGATCAGGTCAGGGAATCCCTAAGCAAACTGGACATACGTAACTAAGGGGCCTGACGGGATGCACCCATGAGTGCTGAGGGAGCTGGCAGATGACATTGGAAGGCCACTCTCCATAATTTTTGATTGGTCATAGTGAATGGGAGAAATGCTTGAAGACCTGACAAAAGTAATTATCATGCCTATCTTGAAGAAGGGCAAGGAGGAAGACCCAGGGAACTATAAGCCAGTCAGCCACACCTCAAGCCCTGGGAAGGTGATCAAGCAGCTAGTGCTGGAAACTATTTTCAGGCACGTGAACAAGATTATCATCAGGAGTATCCAACATGGTTTCACCAACAGGAAGTCATGCTTGACCAACTTGACAAACTTCCATGATGAAATGACTGGCAGTCACAAAGGGACACAAAGTCTAGCTGAAGGCCAGTGGTGTACCCCAGCAGTTAATACTGAGTCCAGTCCTGTTTAGTATCTTCATTAATGATCTGGATGATGGGGCAAGAGCGTACCTTCAGCATATTTAAATGAAAACATGATCCTAAGTTGGCTCACTGGAATAATACATGAATAGGAAAAGGTGACTGGAGCCCTCTGAGTTAAGCAGGAAGATAAACTATTAATTCAACAGTGTACCCACGTTTCAATTCTCTGAATTTCATCTCCGATTAAAGGAAAGACAAGCACAAAGAACCATGGTGTTTCATCTGAGCAAGTTCGAACTTCAAGATTTTAGTCATCTTTACTCAGGGCTTCATTTTTCCCTTACAGGAATACTTGAGATACTCAAACATAGAATTTTTGTGTCACATTCAGGGCATACACAATCACATCCACTGACTCACATAAAACTGTCATCAGAGTTACAGAGAAGATTAATATTGCTTTTGAGCAAATTATATCCCTGAGTGGCTGGAAACGAAGAAGAGTTTCTACAAATACCATGACTATTCAGATGAGCATCTTTGCTCCTGTGTCTACCACATGAAGTAAAAAATGGTATGCCTTTATTAAAAGCAATTTAAAAAGGGAAGATGCTCCATCCTTTGAGCCACCATTGATAACATGATGTTGCTTTCACTGTCATTCCTGAAAGAGTCCTACAATATGTACACAGCCACGACAAACTTGCTAGAAGCACAGTCATATCAGCCACAACATGCAATCACCCTGCCATACAGCACTCTTCAATTTCAATACTGCATCAGTCTTCTGCAACAAGAATTGTGAGAGCTGCTAGTCCTCCTAGGCAGTATCATTTTAATTTCAAATAGAAGAGATCTAAAGACGTACTGTCTTGCAAGACAACTGAAAGATACAGAACCAGACAAGCAGATTAATCCCTTTTGATAGAAAAGCAACTCCAAGAAAGAGAATAAATCCTGTTGTCTTCTTTATCAAATATGCACCAAAAAGATATTTAGTGTCTTTTGAGAGAGATCAGACTCAAAATCCCTCTGGACTATTGTTACTACCAACTTCCAAGTTCCATAATTTGCCTGCAAACGATTTGAGGTTACCATTAACCCAATTTAAGTTACTTCTCAAGTGTAACCACCAGAACAGAGACTTCTGTATCATAGAACTAACAAAGCATGAAGCATATGAAGTTCAAACCTATTGCCATCAACTGCTTTGATTTAAAATACTTCAGGTCTTCATATGAACACAGGATAGACAGTTTTTAGCAGTCTCTTCCCTTCAGTGGTCATACGACAATTCTGTAAGCTGTAAGTATCAAAATGCTGTATGCAAAACTAAATAATTGAATATATTCTTACAGTGTTACTTTGAAAGCATAGACCAGCCCAAGTTCAAACATTAATGGCTTCAGATAAACCATGTTGGAATGATTTTACCCTTTTGATTAAAGCTTCCTTACATCAGATGTTTACATGAACTGTCAAGAACTGCCGAATGCCAGATAAGATAGCTACCCTTGTCTACGCAAATAGTGCTCACACATACACATAACATCAAACAAAACGGATAGTTACAACAATGAACAAACTATTTTATTTTTGTTGATAGATAAGAACATCCCATTGAAAATAAAGAATAAAAAAATATATTCTGCTACAACACTTGGAACGCTTGAATCTCACGCTATAGCACACAGTGAAATTCTGGTACTGCAACATCACAGTAATCCCTGTGCACATGGGTGCACAGAAAGCCTTGAACAAATATTTATACACATAATAGTGCCATGTACAAAAAATGTCATTCCATAAAGGCCAAACAGAAAATTTAAACATCTTTGTTTTTGTTATGCCAACAGCAATGTAAAAAATGAAAACTGTTTTCAGTCAATTACTTCCACTTAAATCTTAAGAAATCTTTTTATGCTAAAGGACTCTGAAATTCAGCATATTAAAGCATGGAAGAAGTAAAGCATAAACAACATACTAAACATGTGGGGCACGATGTTTTCCTCAATATATAACTAACTTTCATACAGTTACACCAACAATCAAGTCAGTATTTTCTTAACACAAAGAGAAAATATTCTGTTACTTCAATCAATGCTCTGACCTTTTCTTACTATAAAGAGCATGCTTGTATTATTCATCTAAGCATACATGCACCACAAAAGATATGCAAAACAAATCGATATAGATAACCTTTAGTGTCAAATGTCTAATGATGTAATAATAAAAACAATTCTCAAAGTCCAAATGACTTGTTAAATTAAAATTGTGTTGCAGTCACTTAAACTAACAAAATACTTGGACACTTCATTATTTTGCAGCAATATCTCTGCTAAAGGAGTATCAGACTGTTGGTAAAGCAAGGCATTTTCAGAAAAGGAATTTGTAAAAAATACATTTATACTATATGCTTTCATATAAAAAGACAGTAAGAAATATAATAAAACCTACCATTTTAGGACTACACCTTCCCTAGCAAATGGTTTTTATCACTTGCACTATTACATACAGTACATTCAGTTTCCTACACAGAGAGTATATTTTCTCATCCCTGATGTATATTACAATCGGCAGTAACAACAAACTGCTTTATTATCACTGCTCACTCTTGCAGCTTATACAAACTGCGCCAATTTTACCCAAAAAAAGGTTTATCAGTTACATAGTAGCACTTCCTTATAGGAAATATAAGTCCAAAACATTGGAACCAAATGTGTCTTTCCAGAAAGATACCAGAATATATGGCTCAGAGTTAAGGGATGAATAACCAAGAGTATTGCATAGTACAGCCTGTATGAATAAAGCCACCTTTTGATTGTTTGTCACCTTCTGACTCCAAGAATGGACAATGAATTAAACAGGTGCTAATGAGTAAGAAAGTAGTACACTAAATTTACTGGTTAAAAAAACAAGAAACTGTACAGTTCTCTCTGGCACAGTGCAAAGTAGACATTAAAAAACTGAATACATATGTACAGTGTGTATGTATATTTTTATATATATATAGTATGTATTTCCCTGACACATACACGTGTCTATATAAAAAGCATGAACACACATATCCATGCCAAACTTAGCAAAAAGATGGAGTCTTTAAAATGTGGATGCATTGTTCCAGTTAAATCAGTCTGTCCCAGAAATGGCTGTTTATACAGCCAATATGCCTTTCCATGAAACAGAAATATTTATTGCCCGCATAAATTGACAATATACCGTACATTTGTCCTCATAACTTACGAAAGGACTGATAATCACACTTTATAAAAGCTTATATTTCTATTAAGCCCTCTCCTCCATAACCCTTCCCTCCCTATACCACCATTCCCCATGACCAATTCATATGGCTATTCCCTCTATGGAAATTTAGGAAGAATAATCTGGAATAATATACTAGAGTATTACGTATCTGGAGGACCAGACAGAGTATTCACTACAGAAATGAGATCTTCTATTTTAAATTTTTCTTGCAATATATAAGTTTACAGCCACCTCTGTAAAAATTAGTAACACCTGATGCTGGTTTGTTTTATTATTTTCCTTTGGGATTCAGCTGTTATGGTTCTGAATATGAACACATTGGCTGAAGTCTGTAAGAGAGAACACACTTTTCAGGATTCTGAGAGCACTGGCACTCGACTTGCCCTGTATGATCAACTGTCCTTCCCTGCAAAGTTTCTGAAATACTTTGTGAAATACTAGAATGCAATACAGATTTCCCCCCCACCCCTTATCCTGAATGTCTTTTTTACATTTTGAGAGCACTTTCAAAAAATAAAGATGATTTATATCAGCAAAATAGTTTCAAATAAAGGTGATGGCTGTGAACCTGAGAGTTTAGTGTGATACGAACACACATATTTGTGGTATCCCCACTGGCTAGTACTTTCCTTGTTTAAGTCTTTCAATGTGGTAGCACAACTTCAGGGCAGGCCCCAGCTTCAGTCCCATATATTTCATTATCATATCGCTCCTGAGTAAGAGTAGTGCCTTCCCATCAATTTCCTGCAGAAGGAAGAGAATAAAGACAACAACATACAACTACTTTAACAAACTGCATGGTAAGACTGGAAGTACATTATATTTGTTTATACTATAGTAAAAATTTATCTACTATATATAAAAAAGTAACTTAGTATAATTTTATATTTACAGATGGCCACTGAAATGGAATTTATTTTAGTATTTTTTAATGTATGATTAAGGTATTTGAGATGTTAAAGAAAATTATAGTAAGTAAAAGAAACTACTAAACAGGGCTCAAAATTAGGTACTGGCTGGGAAAAAGTGAATGGGTCAAGGGGAAAAAAAAAAAAAAAGCCGCTGCAAAGGAAGGTCTGTGCAGTTAGAGATTAAATGATCCAAGCACTGAGGCCTTGCACTGAACCTTGAACACAGCTGTGGGAGGATTCTGGCATGCACATGCAAACAGTCACATGGAGGAAGGGGTTACAGACCATCTAAATCTGTGAAATAAGACAGATCTATGTCCAGGTTAAACCAGACAGATTGTTAGGATCAAGACCAAGGACAACTTAGTCAGATTTCAACTGCTGGTTGAGAAGCTGCTGAAATGTGACAGTCCTAAGCTCTTAGTAGTATTACATGCTGTAGACAGGCAATTAGTTTCTTAAAACACTGCAAAGAAGGCGGCACTCTTTTTTTTTTTTAAACATAAACCTGACAAAACTAGTGACATTTAGTCTTGTTTTATACAACTAGGAATAAAACATAAGACAGGAAGCACTGTTAAAAAGTTATTTTGAGTTTCCTTTCCAATCCAGCTTACTTGTGAGATTCAACTGTTAGTAGGAGCTGGTGCAGAACAAGGGTGAAATACTACTAAAGAGAAAGCCAACCTCTTTTTGGAGGGCCATATACACAATGAAATAAGAAAGCAGCTCTTTGCTGAGCAACCTGCCATAGAAAAGCACAGTGAAAAGGAAGAGGGGAGACCAAAAACAGCACAGAGAAATTAACACAGTTTATCTCACTAGATACAACATCTAGTTAGATCTTATGAAAGCCTATACATTGTTTTTCAAAACCGATTAATTCAACATTTCAATTGGTTCTTTGAATTTTAGTATTAATGACAAAGTAAAAGCTAATGAGGCATAACAGCATCCCTACTTCAGGATAATCAGTCTCCAAAACAGACTGTCATAGAGAGGTGTCATTTATGCAGGCCAAATGCCCCACACTGTACATGAGAATGCCATCTTCTCTAGAGGTACCAGGGATGATAGGGGTACCATGGATGTTGGCCATTAGAACTTGGATACTTCCTGTATTGGCATTATTCCATATAAGCTGGAAAACAGTGGGTATTTACTTTAGTCTAACAAGACTAGAACGCAGAGAAAATATACTGCAGGAGGAGTTTCAGGTGGAAAAATAATTTTCAGCCTCCCTTTAATATATGAGTAGAGTCTAGCTTCAATTGCAAACAGTGATAGACATGAAAGCTATCTTTCAAGACATTAACGTGACACACAGTCTACTAGAACAGAATAGATATGCATCATACATGTCTCCTAAAGAGTTCTGCATGCGGAGCTAGTGCCTGTGGATCAGCTTCTTTCACAAAACGCATTACTTCTTCTATTGACCAGGTGGAAGGATCCTTATTCAATGTTCTTGAAGGTTCCCTTTTCAGTGAATTCAAATCTGGTCCAGTTGTGGAACTTGCAGCTTTCAGGATAAAAATATTGTGAAAGGAAGAAGTATCACTAGTCTACACAGGGATAACACATTTCATTTTACGTAAGACATCCTTAATATTAACATGCGGCTTCTATTACGCATTCTTAGCAATATCTTAAAATGAAAGATGTTTTATTTTGCTCCAAATAATATTGAACTGTTCCATTTGTCTTTAAATGCCTTATATATCTGCAAGTATTTACAGCAGCATAAACATTAGCACTCTGACATGCCTAGGGGGATTAGTCCGACTTGGGACCCAGGAGCCAAATACAAGATGCCATTAACTGGGGAGATGGCAAAGGCAAGTTAAGTTGTGCAGACAGAGGGAGGGACAGCAGGAAACCTTATCCCCGTATTTCACAGAATGACAGAATCATTAACGTTGGAAAAGACCTTTAAGATTGTCAAGTCCAACCACCAACCAAATACCACCATGCCCACTAAACCATGTCCCAAAGTGCCATGTCCACATGTTTTTTTGAACACTTCCAGTGATGGTGACTCCACCACCACCCTGGGCAGCCTGTTGCAATGTTTGACCACTCAGTAAAGAATTATTTCCTAATACCCAGTCTAAACCTCCCCTGGCGCAACTTGAGGCCATTTTCTCTTGTTCTATTGCTAGTTACTTGGGAGAAGAGACCAACACCCACCTCAACACAACCCCCTTTCACGTAGCTGTAAAGAGCGATAAGGTCTCCCCTCAGCCTCCTCTTCTCCAGACTGAACAACCCCAGTTCCCTCAGCCGCTCCTCATAAGACTTGTGCTCCAGACCCCTCACCAGCTTCATTGCCCTTCTCTGGAGACGCTTCGGCACCTCAATGTCCTTCTTGTCATGAGGGGCCCAAAACTGAACATGCTATTCAAGGTGCGGCCTCACCAGTGCCGAGTACAGGGGCACAATCACTGCCCTACTCCTGCTGGCCACACTATTTCTGATACAGGCCAGGACGCTGTTGGCCTTCTTGGCCACCTGGGCACACTGTCGGCTCATGTTCTGCTGGCTGTCAACCAGCACCCCCAGGTCCTTTTCCACCAAGCAGCTCTCCAGCCACTCTTCCCCAAGCCTGTAGCGTTTCACAGGGTTGTTGTGACCCAAGTGCAGGACCCGGCACTTGTCCTTATTAAACCTCATACAGTTGACTTCAGCCCATTGATCCAGCCTGTTCAGATCCCTCTGCAGAGCTCCCCTACCCTCCAGCAGACCAACACTCCCACCCAACTTGGTGTCATCTGCAAACTTACTGAGGGAGCACTCGACCCCCTCATCCAGATCATTGATAAAGATACTAATCAAGACTGGCCCCAAAACTGAGCCCTGGGGAACACCACTTGTGACTGGCTGCCAACTGGATTTAACTCCATTCACCACAACTCTGTGGGCTCAGCCGTCCAGCCAGTTCTTCACCCAGCAAAGAGTGCGCCTGTATAAGCCACGAGCTGCCAGTTTCTTGAGGAGAATGCTGTGGAAGGTGCTGTCAAAGGCTTTACTGAAGTCCAGGGAGACAACATCCACAGCCTTCCCCTCATCCACTAGGTGCTTCACCTGGTCGTAGAAGGAGATAAGGTTGGTCAAGCAGGACCTGCCTTTTATGAACCTGTGCTGGCTGGGCCTGATCCCTTGGTTGTCCTGCACATGCCCTGTGAGCACCCTCAAGATGAACCTCTCCATGGTCTTCCTCAGTACGGAGGCGAACAACACGGTAATAGTTTATAAGATGCTCTGGAAGTGAGCTGCACATAGCTAGCCCTCTCTGGTCTGGCTTGCTGCAGGGTCCATAACAGCAGTGAGAGGAAAGTGCTGCAGGAAAGACCCCCCCGGCTTGCACTACTGTATTAGTTCTAAATGAACTTAAGTTCTGCATTTGCAGTTACGTTAGCAAGCCCGACATGCTTGGCAACAGCACAAGATTGCACTCCATACGCAAGCTCTTCTACGGCAAAGAACTTCTTTATTCATTACTTGTGGACTTTGTCTGTTAATAAAAGCAGTTACATATTTTGGAAAGTTTAGTTATATAGCATACCTTCAATCCTCCTCTGTATTCGATTCCTACTAACTTCATGGTAGCCACTGCTCCCAGCAGAGCTCAAGGACAGCCTGCGCAGGATTGGGGCTGAATTTGAGGTAGCAGTCACTGGCTGAAGGGAGTTTCTGTAATATGCTGCACTCCCTGAAGTACGATATTCCATGGAGTTTCGATGGGTGGGGCTTGAAGGATTTACAGAATTAAGTGCAGAATCCATAGAGTCCTCAGAAAATCGGTGTTCTTTGGAAGTGCTGTTTTCCTCTATAGGCAATGTTACTGCTACACAAAAAGCAAGTATCAATATGTTCAAAGTGATAGACATTATGTCTTTGTTATTTAACTCTTTGCTATGTTCTCTTGAAGATACTGGCAGATTGTAAACCTGTTAACAAATCTCCTGTGAGGCAATCACTGCTGCTGAATGTTTGCTCCTTTTCCTCAAGTAATCACCGGGCTCTTACAAAACGTTTTTTTGTAGAAAAAGATTTAATATGTCAAGTCTGAGACAGTCTTCCATAAATCATTTCAGTTGTATTTGCTAAATATTATGAACAGGGAAGTGACAGAGGAAATTTTTTTCAGGTAAAATTGTCTGACCTTAATATTGAAACGTCAAACAATCTTAGACAAGCTTTGTCATTATCTTTTTTTAACATATTCTCAAGAAGCTAACCATTAGGCGTGTGTTATGTTTATCTTGCACAAAATTTTTAATATAAAGAAAAACTCTGATGTTAACTAACAATTGTTTAATTTGTTCTAAACAGCAGAGGGAGTCACTAACTTCATAAACAAGTGGACAATTATCATCTATAGATCCCAATACTTCCAGACACAGAGGCCATCATTAAAAACTGAGTACGTTACAGGCAAAGCCACAGAAGGCTGACAGTGCCAGGTACGGCACACTACTGTAACACGTTTTGACCACAACGCTGTATCTACATACAGTTAGTTCTTTGCACACGGCAGGGTCTATGAGCACAGACTCTGGAAAGCTGAAGATACATGTAAATTACAAAACCCACTGAGCAAGTTAAAAAAATAAATCGGGTCTCAGGAAGGGAGTATAACAACATTCCCTTTTTTAGTTCTTATGACTTATCAGCTGATTTCTACTTTGCAAAACACAAACACCCCCCCCTTAGAAGACTCGTGAATTTTTAGAGCCTGTCAATACTGCTGCTAAGCCAGATGAGCAGTGTTAGCAGGTCCCTTTCCCTGGGCTGTGAGAAAGGAGCCAGGTTTGCTTGATTACTGAAAATTCCACTCAGTCAACCGAATTGTCTGATTAGCCAAAACATGCGGGGGGAGGAAATCAATGAGATCACCACTCCATTCTCTAGCTATCACATGTATTCTTCTCCATTTGCACTAGGCCAACATCTAGCCTGAGAAAGAAGTTGGAAGCATGATGTACAGATCTGTATGAAACAAATGCTGCTTTGGCAGGGGAGTTAAGAGCTGGAAAATATAGCTAACAGGTTCACAGAAGTGTAAACCCCACACTACCATCTTGAAAATTACTCTAGTGAAGTTATAAAACATATGCTAGTGAAGCAGCATATTCTTTGGAATAAGAACTGGTACGTTCTGCGAAACAAGTTCCTGAAATAAGCTTTTTACTACCCTACTTACATGACAACTTTCAAGAATTTCTTGGGCGAATACCCAATTAAAACTAAAAGAAGAGTATTTTCCTAAAAAACCCGGTGAGCTTCTCAAGCATGTTTTTAACTTGCTTCATGAGGTCTTAGGTTCTCTGCTGAAACCTGTTTAAAAGTGGAATGCAGTAAAGAACTGTTAGGCGTATTTTGGTCTTCAGACAGCGTAATGCTGAAAGGGAACAAAGGCACTCAGAAAGCCAGCTCTCTACTTTGATGAATTCCGCAAGGCAAGATCTGCAAGATGATGTAACATTTTCTACTAAACTTGATAGTCATGGAATAAAGCAGCTTTTATGGACACAAGCCCTTCTCTTTCATGTACACAACTCTGAAAAACAAACATGGCAAAACTTTCTAGTTTGTTAGATTTCAATCACACAAGCAAAGAAGCAGCTACAGAGGTTTTCAAAGAAAACAAACAAGAAAACTAACTTCTTTACAGTTGTCATCTTGAAGTAGTTGCAGCAACTTACCAAAATGAAAAACAAAAGCCATCATTCTATAGAATTTCAGAGAGATTTTAAGAGAAGTAGTCAATGATACACACTATAAAATTAAAGGGTAGCCAACCAAGAGAAAATTAGAACTGCAGAGAATGAAACTACTAACAGAAATGTCATTCCAAGACCAAAAGGCAGAGGTGATACTTCACATAGTTACAGCAAAGCTATATGAAGGAGCCTAAGGCTTAACTGACTGAACCTGTAGGTTCAGATTTCAGAAGTCGTGAAAGGTAGGATGAATCATAGAATCTTTGGGTTAGAAGACAATATTTCCCAGCAGAAAGTTTCAGCTACAGTATTTAAGCATGTATCAGCCAACTCCATGTAATGTATTAAGAAAAACCTTTTTGTAGTTTTTATAGTAAACAAGCAAAAATCCCAAATATAGGGATTTTAAAATAATGAAGTATAATCCTTGCCAAGATTTATGAAGACAAAAGGTTTTTAAGTTCTTTTGTAATACAGTCAATTTTAATTGTATTTATTCCAATTATATTCCAGATTTCTCTCTAATGGTATATATCCTGAAGTAAACAATAATAAATAGGGCTTGGAAAGATCAACTCTGCTTTCTTCCCCCCAGGATACTGGCATCTGAATTTATCTTACTGTAAATTCTCAATTCACATACACAAGGTAGAAAAGCTGGCATATTTCCTATCATCTTTTAGGGAAAGTGTTTCTGTTCAGCAACTAGTCTCCAATCCACTTGCCATCCATCTAGCTTCTCTACAAACAAAACGCAGCTGCAATCTTGTTGAAAAAGTGGTCAACTGGTATGACAGCTGATTCAAAATCGGCATTTAGCAAATGAGCTTTGCAATCCATGGAGCAACGAATGACACAGTTCTCATACCTCAACATTTTGAGCAGTTGTGAATAAGAGTGGCATGGAAAGAGGTAGGAGGTTCCACTGCAGAATGCCTGATCTCTGGGTAGATTAATAAAAGGCCAATAAAAGGCCTTACGTTTTCAAATGCAAGGATGACAACAGGCTGTTTAAATGCTGAAGGTCTTAGCAGAATCGGACGTTTTGTTTTCTGGAAGCTCTTCTGGGAATTGGAAGACAGTTGTTGTGCCTCATACATAACGGGAATGATGTAATCAGCCACACTAGTGAGAACACTCTGTTTTCAAGGGGAGGGAGACCTAGTTATTCCCCATCCCCCTCTCCTTTATCTTTCATAACTTTAAGAAGAAACTGCTAGCAAGCAGGAAAGACAGCAAAATCTGCAAAACATGTCCCTGAGTAGATCAGAAGGAAAATGAGCTGTTTGAAAGACCCTCTCCCACAATTATTCCATTTTGCCTTCAAATGATATTTCAAAACAACTATTTCAAGACAACTATGTCTCAATGGATGCAGAACTTTTTGGGGGCAGCTCTTTCTCGCTAACCAACCCATGACTGACCGCTATAAAATTACCTCCAGATTTTCAGCAGAGGACATTGTCCTAATGGGAAACACACAACACGAGAGAACACTTTGCCTCTTGAAATGCATAGGACAAATTCAAACCTCTGAAACCATGGCAAAATGCTTACTTTAATTATTTTTTTTATTCACATGACTGAACTTCATAATGAACTACTGATCTTAGAATGTATTTTAAAGAGTACACTGACTTCCTCTGTAAAAAGGATCCATTAGCAAACAGGATTAAAAAGCAGTATGTGCATGTATGTTTACTTTGAGGAAGATTTCTTACAAGATAATGCAAATCTACTCAAACATTTGTTTTGCTCCAACTGAAACAACTTCATTTGAGTATAATTAAGTGCTCTACACTTACTAAGTTACCTGCCAGAAATATCTGACTTAGGTGTACAATATATCTGTGGAATTAAGCCTGTACTTCTTTTGGGAAGACACAGAAATCAATAATCAATGCAGAACTGTATTTTTTTGTGGCTGTTATTATATGCAAAGAAATGAATATGCTACATATATAGAAAATATTAAGATGTACCATTTTAAATAAGCTATCATTTTGAACATTTTAATTTGATGTCCTTTTCCACTTTAACTGTAGTCCTATGACTTTTTAATCTGCACAAAAAAAGAGATCGTTCTACCCCCACTGATACTAATAGACACTAGATGACCCCAGGATCTCCAAAAAGAACAAAAAAAATAATATAAAAGAAGAAATAACTAATCCCCATCATATTTCAAAAAAGCCTTGGGAAATGCTGTGCAAATATCTTGCAGCAAGAGAAAGTACGTATCAGATGGGATGAGTCAACATCAACAAGTTACCATGGCTTAACCAGTTAAGCAGCAAATGCAGAGTAAAAAAACCTGCATTTTTTTAAGTCTCTCTCACTGAGGATTAAACCTAGATGCTTTACTTCACATCTGAGGTGGACGCCGTTACTGCAGCTGAGCTGCAGCACAGGAAAAGGTGCTATTCATCAGTGTGCTAAATCAATCTAACAGTAGTCAGCTGCTCCCCTGGCCACGGCTGCATTTTATTCAACCCTTCCCTGTGCTCATCTGAGTCCACATTGAGTCAGTCCCACAGAAGTAAACTGCAAACAACTCTTCGCTTCACCAAAATGTTTTCTGTGCTTTTGCTGACTGGTTCAGCTCACCACCCAGCCAGGGGGCTGGCACCCACTGCAGGGACAAGGAGGCAAGGAAAGCACTTCCTAGCCATAAACTCAGCTGAATTGTATTGTCAGCCTACACCCTTACTCACTTAATGGCCCCAGCCTAGAGTTATTAAGAGTTGCATCCAATTTATCTCCTAATCCATTTCAAGGCAATTGGTTTTCTGCTAAATAGCCATATATGAAGCAGGAGGCTTCATCTGTCACCTACTTGCCTGAGCCCCTTCACAAAAAAGGCTAGCAGGTTTAGGAGAAGGACTGCTGGAACTTGCAGTAGATCTTCCCTAAGTGCAAAATCTGTGCCAGTGATCAATAATTAACATACTTTCACCCAGACTTGTCAAAGGCTAGAGACAAACCAGACACATACGTTGTACTCAGTCCTTTTTGACTGGAAATACTGAAACCATAAATAATCCTCACATATAATCCTGACAAAATGTAATTACCTTCAGATGGATGAGCATCATTTCTGGGAAGCTTAGGGGAAAGAGGAGCAGTATATGGTGGAGAGTCCTGGGAGTACCGTTTAGCACTCCTGTTTTCAGGTGTTTCTTCTTTTGCTGTGAAGAGGAAAATCATCATCTATTACTCCAGGATAAAGCTGCTCCTGGGGAAAGTCCAGGGGGCAAAAGCAAAGACATATAGCAGCCATTCACCAGCTTACAGTTCAGTTTCTTGTGTCACACAGACTCGGTCATTTTGATATAAACTTTCAAAGCTGAAGTATAGCTTAGTTTATAGTCACCCAAATTACCTTGACCCTGGATGCTTTTCTGAACAGAGTTAAAACTAATGACTTTCATATGACAGACAGAATTATAAACATAATTTCTCTATTGGAAAAAGGAAAGAATATTTTCTTTTCTAAAGCAACACCCAGAAGACAGACTCAGCTATCAGACAGCTGTGAAGAAGCTTCACACACCATATGAAACTTGTGAAATTGCCCTGGTGGCAAAGTTTTCTCAGCTATGGCTCCTGGTAACTCTCAGGCTGGGACTTGTAACACCAGGCCCTGCAAACAACCTGATGGGAGATTTTGTGCAAATCATTTCTTTTCCCCCTCACTCTATGCTCTCAGTGCAGCAGACAAAGATACTGGTCTCATACACAATATCACAAGCAGCCACCTGCAAAACGCACCCTTTCTACTTGAAGACTGGACTGTACATAGTAGAATGTAAAATTTTTGGAGCTACCACTGAGTAAGGTGAGTAAAGAAGGGAAGAAAGGACCTTTTATTGGTGTGCGAAGGGCTAGACTGAATTCCCTTTCAGGGCAAGCCCCCTCTTGTAAGGCAAGTAAGTATCTTACTAAGTATCTTACTAAGGCAAGTAAGTTTATTTTATGATCCAAACATAAATTAAAAAATGAAATGTGAAGTTTTGAACTTGTCTTTTTAGCAGTATCACAGTGGTACAATACATATGTTTCCTGACTTGGCTACAAGGAGGAGTTTGCTGAACAAAATGATTTCTGCACATGTGGTATGAGCCATCCCATCCTGTCAAAGCACTACCACACTGGAACTAATTCACTAAGAACTGAAGCGTATTCATTTCAATCAATTCACGTCATAGAAAGACAGATTAAAAAGTTACATTTCATAAAAAGTCACCACACTTCTCAAAAACACCAGCACTTGAAAATAACAGTTGTTTAACAGTACCTGGTTTGTTCCTATCATACTCCATAGGACTATGTGCACACCCCATGTAAGGGCTGAAAGGCTGGCTACTAAACAGATTATCACACTGCAGGCTGTGGCAGAGTTTCTCCAAGAAGCGTAGGACAAACGATGCGCTGTTTACAGAAGGAAGATTGATGGCGTGCTTTTCCCCATCAAAGGAAGCTGTGAATAAGAAGATGATGTCAAACACCCCCCAAGCATCATGAAGTATAGTAAAACGCCATCATTAACTTAAAGGAGAAGACATCCAGATTTGAGTTAAACCACACAAGACATGAGAGGAGTAAGCAATCATTCTGGTAGTTGAACAAATTTGCATCCGAAGGACTGATTTTACCTTCCATTGGATCCATGCCAGTTTAAATTTGCTCTATGGGAACTTATTTTAATAAAATAATTTTGGATTCACTCCAGCATACCAAACCTTGCAACTATTACCTCATCACCAAAACCTTTCATGTAATTTCTGTTATTTGCTTATAAAACAGCAACTCCTCCACCACCTATTTGCAGGAGATAACACAGAAAAGACTCTTTACAGTACTTGCTAAAGAAACATACAAAATAAAAAAAAAATAAAAAGAAAGCAAACAATTTTTTTTTTCCTCTCAGTTTCTAACTGAACTGAGCATACTCATGGTAATGCAATGGTACCCATTACTGTTGAAATTCTGACTACAGAAAATTGTTTTTCCATTTGCTATTTTGTCACTAGAGAAATCTATCCTGCTGTCAACACTACAGTGGTCAAGCTCCCATTTATTTCAACAAGAGCTAGGTGGCAGAGATACCACAACAGCCACAAATGGATCTGGTGTCTTTTAAACTGAGCGATTACAAACAGCCTGGACATGTGCCTATGTCTTTTACTTTCTGACCTCCTTCCTTGCCTCTCAGTATTGCAGCTGATGATATTTTCCTTTTTTGTGAAAATTAGTAAGATTTTGAAAAGACTCAATACTACCAATATACAGATAAATAATTACCATTACATTAGCTGAGACTTCTGATTAGGAAGACATTACGACAAAGCAGGAACAAACTTGTAACTTAAGCTTAGGGATAGAAAGAAGCGGCATAAACACCAGGTTTATGCATCAATCTGTCTTCTTGGTTTTCAGCTTGTCATGCAGCTTTCTGTTGTTAATATAAGTTTCCAAATGATAAGCAGACCTTTAAAGGATCACATTTTGTTGGTAGCAGATGCATGTAAAAAAAAAAAACAAAAAACACAAAAAAGCAAAACCACAGAAATGACAAGAAAGCCCTTATTCACAGATCTGAATTAAGGGACATTTCCACATTGTGTTACAAGAGAGACAGATAATATACACAAGACCAAAGAAAATGACGAAGTTTAGCATATTTTAGGCTTCCTTAGGCAATCAGAAGTGTCAATTACTTACACCGTTGATGTAAGGAAGCTTCTGATTAGATTTAACACAAGTTAACTAGCTAGCATCAACAGCAACACGCTAACGCTCTCATCTGCTTTCATGACAGACTGACCCAATGCAAGTGCTTAAAGTTTAAGAGTCAGTACTACAGGGACAAACCCTGGACCTACGTGTTTCCATGGCCCATTCAGTTTTTCCAGGCTCCAATGTTCAAATGAAATGCTAATGATTCACAGTCCCACATGTGGCTCAGACACAAGGTCCTCTTCCTCCTGTTTGGAGAAGGGGTCTCCAAAGGCGAATTTTTGCTTGGAACTCAACCAGTTCTGGAGAGCAAATGGGCTGTGAGACCTAGCACAGCCTGATCTCCTGACAAATTTACTGCAAGGTAGTAGTCAGCTACAGCAAAAATGTAAAATGCTTTATAATAGCCTTACAGATCATCTTATATGACCTTGGGGAAAATCACTTATTCTCCACACCTTAATTTCTCATTTTGAAAAGAAGCATTGAAAAGAACAATATTATCTTAGAGTTGTCAGGAGGGTAAAGCAAGAAACAGCTGAGGCAATGTGACTGCCCCAGCAAGACATACCATGGGAAAAATCCACAAATAAAGATTCAGTGCAATCACAGCTCCCTTGTACTCTGAACACCTCAGGGCAACCATACGAACTCCAACCAAGAGTGTGGGATCCAGATCCATAGGCTCAACTGTCTGCTCTGCTTGGGGACAACATAAGTCTCTTACTTACTAGATAAATGCTAGGGGAAAAAATAAAAAGGAGTACTTCTGAAGTGCAATAACCTCAACCTTTAATGACAAATAAACAGAGACTGTAGCTTGCATGTGCAATCCCAGCCCCCAGGATGAAGAGACATTCTCATTTCTCCACCTTCCATTGTGTAACTACGTTTTAAATGCCAGGTTCAAGCTAGAAGAAAGGCTGAAAGCTAAACTATCAGAGAAATGTGTTTGTCTGATAGTGAAGAAACTCATCCAGGAGTCTGATTTTAATTCTCTGCTTGAGAAGATTTATCTGAGCCTCAGTGTACGTCATCCCACCAAATGCCATAGTCCCTGCACTACAAGGAGACAAATGGGTCTGACACCACCACCACCATTAGTGGTCTTGCTAATCAAGCCTTTAATTTATTTTCAGTTATATTTGCCTGAATTGAAATATTATGCATCAAGCAAAAATAAAACAGTTTGTGCTTTTGTTTGAGTACGAAGAGATGGAAAAAATCCTAAATTCAATTCTGTTCAAAACAACTATTTTCTTTGGCAGCTGAACCAAAAGAACCCGCTAATTATTCACAGGTATTGTAGCAAGATTATTTTATCCACATCCTCATCAGTATACAGTTTCCTCCTAGGGCAGGTATAATACTCATCATGAAAGCTTATCAGTCCACAAAAGACTTAGATTTCTTTGCTCATTCTCTGCTGCAACTTTTTTTTTTCTTGCCAATCTAAAAACAACAACAAAAACCCCAAACAACAAACCACAATCCAAAACCACTTTCAAACAAAAACTCTACAAGAAAACACTCTTATAATTTTATTCTGTAATTCCTCATTTTATTCAACTGTAGTTTTCCTCTTCTTCCTTACTGTTCACAAGCACAGCTGGTTGTAATGTGCTACGCTAACCTAAGTCACATTTTGTGCTTCTCAAAATACATCACACACAAATTTTTGGTAAAACGACAGGGAGTGTTTGCTCATTTTGTTCCTCAGCAACCTGTTTGACAAGCCAATGAGAAGGCAAGTACTCAAGAACACCAGAAACCCACTGGGATCTTGCGGTGCTCTATCACCTGGGCCAGGACTCTGCTTCAGGAGCAGTCCACACTGCCAAGTTCCTCAAATCAAGAGCTACAGAGCTGGCTTCCTGAATCCAGGTGCAGAACAGCAATTCCTTTTCGTACAGAACTTTTGAATGTAAACAAACCAGAACAACATAAACATTTTGAAGTTTCTCTTCTATGGAATTATTATTTTCAACTACTCAGTCACAGCCCAGATATACCATTGGCCTACGATTTAGTCCTTTGTGATAAACAATCACGAACAGAATGCTGGCAGTGCATGTGCCTGTGCACTTTGTTCAAGCAAAATTGACTTGTCTAAATTAGGTACAGCAAGGTATTAACAACTATAAAATGTAATAAACTTTCATACATCTTGCAAAAGTAAAGCAACATGGGTTTCAAAATCACACGTATACAATGCCATTAAACCTTTACTACACAGCAGAGAAGCAGCATCCATTTGGTGAACTAACTCATGGGGATGCAACAGCAAGGCTTACTGTAGCTCTGCTATGCGCAGGTCAGGGTGATGCTTTTTAAATATTGGTAGACAGCAACATCTTTATGCAGAATTAACTGAACCTGTATTCCACTAATCATCTTTGACATCTGGTGTTAATGTAAGGAGATTAAAGTAATGCAAAGTCTTTTTATTGCTAGTGATGGAATTATGAATTGGTGTGCTAACTGCTATATAGAATATTTCCTAGCCTAGAAAGGAAAAAATGTCAAGCAGCAGCTATTCAGTTTGAGATACTGAGATCATTTATTTGTAGACCTGCCATTAATATGTAGCAGAAATAAACCTATTCGGTAATAGGGGCATAGGTGGATGAACACTGACCTAAGACACTGCCACAGTTCTGGGGGCATGGGGGAAGGGAAGAAGCAGCAACTTTTAACATGTGGAATCACTTGCCTAGAAGCTAAACAGATTAGTTTGAAACTTTTTACCCACTTGGTTAAGGCATTAAGAACACAAACACTATGTATGGATAAGATAATGCGAATGACTTGAATTAATAAAGCTGATATGTCACTTGTACTGAGTTTACTTGACAAATGTTTGGCTACAGCTGCTAAATGAGGTGCACAAGCTCTACTTACTGTGAGAGCCTAATTGTACTGTGTATATGTAATTTAACACCGCTATTGCTAAATTCTAATTTAAAGAATTGTTCAAATCATCCTGGACCCGAAGTGAGGTAAATCACACACCACCAATACTCTCTTAGTAAAGGAATTCACAAGTATATGTTCTTGACTGTGCTTAAATAGTTATAAAAGTGATATAAACTCATTGCAGCTACTTCAGTTCTAATGCCCTCTACCTCGAGTTTGCAACCAAGTGAAGAAATGGAAGAAACAAACCATGTTCACATACCAGTTATCATTTCCCCTCCGTGATGTCCAGATTTCAGAAATCCAAAGACTGTTTTGGATTGATAGGCACAATCCACGCAAGCCTGTACAGCCTGCTGAAGTACCACATTGACAGGACCTGGTCCAAAGTGATCTGGAAGCTGCTGAACCTTCTTCTTATCCAGGTGAAGCCCAGAATTTCCATGCTTGTTGACATAAACACACACTGAAAAAGAACAAACCATATTTACTACCAAGGAACTAAGACATGTTCCCAAGTTAGAACTGCAAACTGTCTCCTTAGTTTTAATCTTGAGGAAAAGATGTACAAGTCCACTCAAGAGGCTGAACCTTGGTAGAAGACAGAGCACTTTTTGCATGCTCGGAAAGTATTCTCCTGCCTAAGTCCTAAACCTCCTTCTTTCTGGTCTCTAGAGCCCTTCTATACCCCACTAACTTAACAAAGCTGTCATAATCTGTGCTTATCTTTTTATTTTGACTAATCTCTGTTTATACACCGGTTCCAATAAAGTAAGAATTACTGGCAGGTACTCTAAATGACCAAGACATAATTCTAAAAAGCTGGCCTTACAAAGTTACTGCCCTAATTTTTCTCTTATTTGAGAAGCTGCAACAAAGACAACCCTATGGTATATACCTACCACTGATGCTCATTCTGAAGCACCCATATAGCATTAATGTTTGCATGTATAATGGCTACTGAAGGTCTGTACCTTCAGAGGCCCCAAACCACTTATGTAGGATTTCCAGACTGCAACTTGGCCTTCTCTGCTAAATAAAATACACATACTTCTCTAGAAACACTGTAAGGTGATTTAAAGCTTATCACAAAACAATCAAATAGGACTTCTGACATTACTTTTTATAAAGACTATGCAAAACTGTCTTTTTTTAAAAGGAACAGTGTCATGGTTTAACCACAACAAACGGCAAGGCACAAAAACATGGGAAAAAGCCATAACTGAAGACATTTTTTTCTTTTTGGCCTTGGCTGTCACATGACCAGGAATGCACCCAAGACATTATTACAGCTTGATGAAAAAACGTGCCTCTGTGGTGATTATGCAGACAATCTAAGCATTCTGTTATACAAAAGACCGGCATATTTTCTGAACTGTAGTATTATTTGGGCTTAGTTAAAACCTGGATTTTTAAAATTAAGTATTTCTGTAAGTGTTTTAATGATCTTATGTGTTCATGCATATCTGCTCACTCTCTGATGTCTTCAAACTGGAGGAAACCTATGTACAAATAATCAAAGACACAAATCAGCAAAAAGAGTTTTCATGTCTGGGCTCAACGACAACTGCCTCCTGAAAGGTTTATTTTCCTAGGAAACACATATATATTTTTCCCTCATCCATGACTGAAGTTGGGAGTGAGAAGAGCCTGACAACTTCTGTTGTAAAAACAAGTTTTAAATGTAAAAAAGCATCCCAAACAAAATTATCATAATTTATGGAGTTTTTAGAAAGTTCTGAGATTTCAGCTGACAACATACAAATTGTTTCACTACAGGGTTACAAGTTCCTCAATGAGTTAGTTCATTAACTAGCTTACTTCTCTTTTGCCAACTCTTTTCAAGATACATTTCATTATATTTCAAAAACAAGCAAACATAAAAGGAAGGAGGAATGTATTTCATCTGATGGCCTTTACTTGGTTTAAACAGTCTGAGTTGTTTCTTTTAATGTAAGGCTATACAGAGATAAAAATCTCCATTTTGTTATATTACAGTACAGGCTGCATGATATCAGAACATCATATGGGTTTTCAGCTTACATCTATTCCAATTTCATACATTAAGGAGTGGAACAGACATGAAAAAACCATACAGCTTCTTTCTTCAGACAAGCACGAAGTGCCAGGTCTAGATCTAGCAGATCTATCAAAAGCCCCTGTGTTCCAGCACTTCTTGCTATAATGCAGGCATTAAAACACTAGCTCTGCAAAGTAACACCAGCACCTACAAATACCTTTAAAAAATAAGGTAGCTGGAGAATGATTTACAGTAATAAGTTTGCAGCACATTTTTCATAAAATGACAGTAGTAGTTTGCTTGAAATGGAAGCCATTTTACACTAAAAACGTCATTAATTTTTTTTTATTTGTCCCTTACCTGTGGATATAACTGCTGCTGTTGCACCAGATAAACTAATTCCACCTTTAAGTATCTGCGTGGTGCCACTGTCCCCCTCAGAAGAAGAATGAGGAGAAGGTGATGCAGGAATCACTTGTTCTGGCAAGATTTTTTTCTGTTTAGAGAAAAAACCCAAAGTCAAAATGTTTAATGTTTTTTAAGGAGTCTGCAAAAACTTTTGGCTATCAGTTACCATCTTACTGAATGTCTGTGGTTCCTTATTACAAAAGCACTACACACAGCAGAGAAGATAAAGTCTGGGAAAGGAAGACTAGAAACTCTCAGTTTGTATTTACAGCTACTTAAGTAAGGCAGTAGAAGACAAATGACTTAAAAAGGAACCCACCTGGATCTAAAAAGTGGGAAAAGAATGAGCTTTATATAGTAATTCATGACCCTTCTAAATCTTAGGAAGCACACAAGAGGTGTTTTGGATTATTTGCCTGACCATAGCCTTTCAATCATCTGGGTTTATCACAACTCAAATCAGTTAGTTGGTCTGTGTATATATTTCCATATAAAACTTGAGTCACATTTAGGTGTCAGCTTTACAATGAACCTAGATTTTCCCTCAGCTTGTCTGACAGACAACCAGCATTTGCAGCACAAAGATTTAGAAATTGGTCAGTGTGCATGACCTTCCACGTGAGGAAAGGAGATTTTTGTTGGAATTTGTTTTGGACTGGGGTTTAGAAAAGAGACATGCACAAGGAAGGCATTTCTAATGTGCTTTGTCATGTTATGAAAATACATGGCAATAAAAGAAACAATGAATTGGAGAAAAGTTCATCACCTCTCCCTTCACCATTTATTCTTGCATGAGAACAGATCATGTTCCCATTTATTCTTGCATGAGAACAGATCATGTTCCCATTCTCTTACCTACCAAAACAGTTAAGAAAGAGATTACCCAAGATCTTGACACTGCTGAAGGCAGCAGAGACCTGGCTACTGATGTGGTAAAGATTTACTGCTAAAATTGATCTACAGTGAACCGAAAATTCAGTTAAGTTGCTAAGGGAGGCTAAGCCCTCTTCCATTTAGCAGTATTCATTCTTTACACTTCTAGAAGCAGCGTTTTCCAAGCAGCATATTAAAAACCATGCAGAAAGCAATCAAAATATACACCTTCCTAAGAGCAGCAGTGCTTACCTTCTTCACAATACCCATAAAGAGTAAAATAACTTTCTCCTGAAATCCAGGGCACATTAAAGAAAATTTCTGTGCCCCTTACTGTTAAGAAAAGGTAGGTTTGGCTGGAGAAACTACTTGACAATATGGCACTGGGTGGAATCACCATCAGCATCAGGAATAGACTGCCAAGGCTTGCCATTGCATTGTGAATGAGACGAGGTGGCTCAGGTCAGGCACCGAACCAAGCAGTGACATACTACTTGTCAGGAATTGCCTACGTGTCTTAAGACCGGGTGACAGAAAGGTCTCTCTCCATCCTTAATACAGAGAAACAAAATGCACTTGGGAAGTTGGGGCTTTTGATCTGAAGTGTCACATTCCTGAAGGCTACCCTAGAGCAGGGACTCTTTGGGGGCCCAGGTGTCTGTCACCACGCTGCAAAATATGGGTGGTCGAGTTGAGGGGAAAGAGGAGGAAATGGAAGAAATGTAAGCATGAAAACAAATGCAAACACTAAATTGTAAGACAGAGGCACTCCTTCAGGAGGAGGAAAGAGCATGCGTTTTGGCAATACAGCACATTACGCTCGCTCAGCTGAGGTTCTCATTCTGCAACACCAAACTGACAAGCAGCAAACTGCAATCCCAAAGCCACGCTGTTTCCTGAGGCAGGCCACGTTCCTAGCAGGGCCTGGCACATTTGCCTGGTCACGGTGTCACCAGCCGGCACACCAGCTCCCTTTGCCTGCAGAGAGCTCTGCTGACAGTCTGGCACCACACAGCCAACTTCACAGGCTTTACCCTGACGCTTAAAAACTCTCTTCTTGTGGGGTCGAATTTAGGGCTGTGATCCACAGTCAGACCAAGGCACTTCCTCAAGAAATTCTGGAAGGAATTATTTGCATTGTTATGCAAAGTGTACTTTTAAAAATAATGAAAGAGATGTAAAGAGATTTCTTCTTCATTTATGACAGAGTAAAACCATACAGTGTGAACTGGGGGAGAGAAACAGAAAACAAAACCCAGCATACATCTCATACTTACAAGAGAAGCTTAGAAAACTTTTATTTAAAAGAGAAAAATGACACAACAGCTCAACATTCCTAGCTGTATAATAAAAGTTAATACCTGCACAAATGATAAACATTGCCCTTTTAAGTTTGTTACGCTGCAAAGAAAGTCAAACAACTCTACAGTATATCAGGCATAGACCAATCTCCCTAAACACACAGGTTTTGAACTACCACATACCCAGCTTGCACTTGAAGCACAATTACTTATCCTGAAAAGCCAGAGGGTTTTTTTGCATTGGTCTTGAAAACACAAACCAAAAAAACCAAAGGCACTTTCAAAACTTTAGCCACATACCACATGCATTATATCGGTACATGTACTGTGAAGCATACAGGCTGTATGGCACTCCATGTCAGATACATCCCTGTCTGTGGAGAACTCCCACAAAGCCATTTCCTCTCTTCACCCTTATGCTAACAGGTGTAACAGTCCAAAGAAGAACTTGCACATATGTATAACATCTTGGCAATTTAACCACGTACCACAGCAGTAACAACCTTCCGTGGATTCTCAAAAAGAGCTCATTTTTGAAGTTTTACTACCTTAACTTTTACATTAAAAACTCCCAAGTTAGATATATCAAACTTAGATTCTGCAAAGCCTAACTCTTAGTTGCCTGGTCCCACAGAGAAAATCAGGAGTGCAGTAATCCCCATTTCCCACGCAAAATCCCCTAACTACCTCACACAGACCCACTGCCAAATGCAGTGCTCCAAGCAGATGCTTTCAGACACCCAGCATTTAGAGACCAGAAGCCTCCTCTAAGGGTGAGAGGCCTCCAACCCTTCTTCCCTTCTTTCAGAGGATACACAAAGCCTCTCAATTTCTTTTTAATGAGACACAGAAGACAAAACTCTTACACAGAAGCGCACACCCTGCCATACCTGCGTACATCCTTAAGATATGAAAGGCCTGTGTTCAATGCTCTCTTTAAAAGCCCCCCCCCCGACTTATGGAGAACACCCCATCCAGCAGCTGTGTGTGGATGGGAGCACCTTTCTCCTCTTTAATCCGTGTCTCTGTGAACTTTTATACACCAAGCAAGAGATAAAGCTGGAGACCCCCTGCATCAGTAGCCTACCAGTTTGGACGCCCGACTGGAAGGAATAGGCAGCACAAGAGACAGTGCTCAGCTTTCTACTTCCAGTCCCCAGAATAATTTCTTACCTTGTGGCCATCATTTCAACAAAGTGCCTGCTTCCAGTTTTGTGCTTGAGCTTTCTACGTATGCTCTGATGATGTCATTTCACTAGCACTTGACGCTGATCAGTGCCATCATTGAAGGGAGAAGTCCCACCTATGCCATTACTCCACCCCTTCCTACGCACCCCTAGCAATAGATCCCATAACCCAGAGTGATCCACACAGGAGGTGACAAACCTCAAAATGTCAACTTTTTGAAGGGGGGAGAGAAAAAAAAACCCACAAAACAGAAACAATGCCCCCCACTCCTCCACTGGTGCTAATACAATGGAGGGAGGAGCACAGGGACAGACACAAATCTTCTGGGAAAAGAAAAGGATTGCAGGATTGCTAGTCCTCTTCGACAGCCTGCAGTGGGTGAGCAAGCCTCAGAAAACAGATTGTACTTCCACGGCAATTCAAGACTTGTCTAAATCTGCCCTGCTGTGATCCTACCCTTCCTTGCAGCAGCATTTGTGCCTTTTTGGGGTGGAGCAGACAAAGAAGGGAGTAAGAGGGAGCGATGCTGGGTTAGCTGTCTACCATTTTAGTCCCCTGAACTAGCTCGCCCTACGATCATTTACCCACCAGTGTTGGTGTCACGTGGGAGTGGGAAGGGGAGTGTTACAGCAGTGCCAATTTGTAGCTGGTTGAACAGCTTCAGAGCAGCTGCAGCCAACAGTCCAGGTCTGACTCAGCTTGGCAGGGAAAAAGCCACCACGTCTTCCAGATCAGGGCAGAATTAGGCCCACACCTGGAGAAATGTATTGCCTGGAAGGAAGCTTCCTGCTAGTATCTCCAGTATTAGGGGGTATCTAAGAGATCCACTGTCAAATCCAGCTGTATGTTTAAGATGGCTAAATTTTGCAACAAAACCCTCGCTGTTCCTAATCCTTTGTTTCTAAACACGAAACAAACAAAAAAATGTTAAAAATTAAGCAAACGATATATATGGTTCAGTAACAAAACAACCCAGACTAAAAAGCCTAAAGGCTTCCCTGGCTCTTTAATTTTACTGGAAATGGCTATTGCAGAATAGTATTTTTCAACACCCAAGAACTCACCCATAAATAAATCAGTAATCTTGTTCTGGAATAAAATAATCCACAGAAGTTTATACTGAAATATTCCAGAAGAGCTATTTCAGACTTTTTCCTGTAACCAATTGCTGAAAACAGTAAAGCCCTGAAGGCTGAAGCAAAGACAGAAAATTAAATAATAATTAAAAAAAAAAACTCACTACAAAATTTTGCAAAATAGTAAAGTAGTAGATAAAGACTAACCTTTTTTCCAGGTTTTAAACTTTTTTTCCTTGTTTTAAGATTCTCAGTATGAGAGGTGCTTTTTGTCAGGGGAATATTTTTAGGAGACCTGCCCTTCTTGGGAACTGCAGACTGTCCAGGGGGTTTGCCCCGACCTGGCTTCCTGCCCCGTTGCGCTGGTACCGGAGCAGATTTCTGTGGAGACTGCATTGAACGCCGGGTCACTTTGGAAGGGGAAGATTGGATTTTTGCACTGCTCTTTGTAATGGAAACTGAGGAAAAACAAAAACAAAAGGGAAGGGGGGGAAAACCTCAAAATGAACGATGAAAAACAACTTTTCTAACAAAGGCTAAAAAAAAAAAATAGTAGTGCACAATTTACATTGTAAAATAAATATACTTGGATATCTTGAACTTAAATGGTTGGTATGAAACTATATAACTTCATTAAATATTAAGAGAGAACTCTTTATACCCATTATTTCACAGGGACTTTCCTAAGATAAAAACATTCAAATAAAAATGAAAAAAATAATTAAACCACTCACCTTATAAATGCTTCCCATAATTTTCATTACAATAAGATATATCTAAAGTGCCATTCATCAAGGTGGCCTTCAAAAATACTTCACAAATTATACAGGCCATAATACATCTGTCCTCCTCTAAGAGCAGTTTCCACGATTACAAGGCATGCCAACTACTTCTAGAGAGCTACAAACTGATTTTGAGCAGTGAAGAAAATCATCCCTCTGAAGAGGGGGAACTAATGACAGGCAAAGTATCCTTAACAAGCATCTGTCTGAGATGCCAGTTTAGTTCACATAACTATACCCAGATTTTTCTACCTGGAGCCATACAGACTTACTGATTTTATTTGAATAAAGGTCTTCCAAAAAAATCAAACACAAAGTGCCATTTTTATACATTCTTAACACTGAAGTAGTTCTCTGTTGAGTCTCACATCCCAGAACAAAATTGATCCAGTATGTAGATGATGTGACTATTATAGTCTGGTGTGAAGCTGCAAGATGTAATCACATTTCACTGAACAGGATTTCCTAGTTAGAAATCTTTTCCACCCAACTCACTCTCCTCTGAAGTAATAATGATGATTTTATTTTAACAATTCCCTTTGTAATAGACCGGTTAAAACACCAGAAGGATGCCAAACAGAACCTATGGATAAGGACATATCCTCGATGAGAAGATGTAACGCACCATGCCACAGCAGCACCTGTGGCCACAAAAAGCAATTACTAAGCCCAGAAGTCCAACAAATATTCTGTTGTGTTGGCCTGACTGCTGACAGGCAGACAGATGCAGAAGTGGTAAGTAGAAGATGAAAACGGGAGATTCTGTGATATCAAGCCATCCTCGTTGTGAGAGGTGTGGGAAAGGAACACACAACATATTTGAAATCATTTGAAGCCTTTACGCTAAAATTAGACAGCTCTAGAGAATCGCACTGCCCCTACCACAGCCTTTTTTTGCATCTCGCTAATGATGAAACTCCCATGATTCACTCTAACATTAAATACTACGAACTCAGTGTGACACAGCTTAGAAATATTGCAAAGTTAGGGTACAAGGGGGGGGGGGGGTTGACCCTGTCAGTCACCAGTGCCTGATCCAAAGCGCTACTGCAGACTGAAAGTGAAATGTAGGGGCTGCTAATAGGTAATTTCTTGGATTTTTGTGAATTTGGAATATTTCTTCTCCTAAAATATTAGTATATTGAGGCTTTCTGGTAAGCAAGTGAAACATGAAATAAAACTCAAAGATACATTTGAAATGAGACCTTGAGAAAAGAACATACTTAAAGATTGAGTAACAGTTTTAATATGTAGCTCTGAGTGATACTCACCTTAACAGTCCAGCACCTACCTTTACAACTGTTACTTTAACTCTGAATTTTTATTCAGGACTTAACCGTTATTAAGTATTCACAATAGAAAATGTCACAGTAAGATGAAATACATACTGCAAACAGACTTCTTATAAAATACAAGTACTACTGACACAGATTTTTAAAGCTGTAGGAGCATTTACATACAGTGCAGTTTGTCTGATTTGGTTGCTAATCTAATATTCCTAAATGGCAGTTCAGAAGAAATCTCATCATGGCTGGTTGCAATCCTAATACATCAAATACAGACAAAATATCACTAGGTATCTGAGAAGGATCACCTTCTGGATATGCAAAGTGAACACCTTCCTTTTATTTATGTATGCCAAAACTTATTTTCATATGCAATGACAGCTCTAAAATAAGATGAACAGAATTTTAAGCAAATGCTGGGATAGCATTACTCTTATGTCTCCAAACTGCTGAATGACAGCTCGCATTAAGCTGTACGTCTGGTAAGCAAAACAATATCAACTGCATGCTGTACAATATAGTACTGGGTATTCCATCCTGTATTATCAAAACAATCATGAACTCATAAAGAAACGTTGGTTCACAAATTCTTTATGCCTCTGCCTATGCTGAAATCTAGCAAATGCATTTCTATTCTCGCACAGCAAAGACAGAGATAAGGTTAAATACACAGCTCATTGCAATGTCAACAGGTTCTAGGAGCACAGGTATGAGTTTCAGGACACTGGGCAATCCCTCCTCCCTTCCAGAAGGGCATTTACCGGACAAAGAGTAACGATGCAAAGAGCTCCAACCACTTCAGGTTGCCCTCTTGAAACACACACATCAAGTACCCTTAGCTCAGCATCTTCCTACCTGTATACGCCAGAGGACCAAATATGAGCAGCATTAACCATCAAGGGGGGGGTCAGGTCCCATTTGGTATTTTTCCTTCTGCCTAGGGCTGAAGCTGCTTTTTTCAATAGGCGGGACTGCAACAAAGCCCATGCTGCCTGGGCAGCCTCCCAGAGATAGCAGCAAATGAGGAGGCTGCTATTTGCATTTGTTGATTTAAGAGAGGATGGGGGGAGCGCAAGGGAGTGGGAGACTGCTGAAGTAATTCCCATATTGTCTGCAGGCTGTATTGACAGTGATCATCAGTCACCTGCTCATACTTCCTTCACCCCGGCCTTCAGAGGGAGACCAAAGGTTGCGCTGGGTCACCGGATCTGGAGGGGAATGAAAAGACATGCAAAATCGAGCTGCCAACCCCACTGCATCTGTAGACAGAGTTATCCCCACTAGGCCACATGTTCCAAAAACTAAGACGTTTTAATAGTCTCATGAGAACTTGTTAAAATATAACGATGAAGAGAATAGAGAGGAAAAATGCCAAGCTCTGCTTGCAATTACTGCAGTATTTAGCTGGGATATTTACAACCAAAAAAGCACATTTGCCTTTTCAGGATGCTGCTTTGCATCACAAAGGCCTTCTCATTTGCACAAACAAAATCAAGCATTTGTGTCATGTTGCTCTTATACACAAATATCTACTACTCCAGCTTCAGGAGTGGGAAGCATTGCATTCTTTCCCAAATCTGTTTCACCCGAAAACTGTACTGGCATCCTCAGTAACTCAAGAGCAGAGATCATGCTATACAAACATATTTTAGCATAGTAATGCAAGCAACTAAACTGTGTTTTCAGAGCTCACAGACATCTAATTACACTGTCATGTTAGTGAGGGCTCTAGGTGACTATCTTCATGCAACAAACAGCTTTCATACAGAATCACAGAATCACTAGGTT